CGTACTTCTGGATCAGTGTATTAAATGATATGAACTGGTTATTTTCAAATAGGTGATGTAAGTGAGTGATTCCTTTGTGTTGCCATGCTGGGAAATAGATAGAGTTATTATGCAGTTTGAAATCAGGGTTGTGCCAAATTGGAGTGTATCTACATGGTGCAAGTGATGATTTAGTGATTTTGTTTGCTTTCCACGAGGCTGTCAGAGTTGAGAGGATTGTGATGTTCTTACAGTGATTCATTTTCTTAGTAGAGTTTGGTAGAAAAGGGAGGTCTACAACCAAGTTATTTAAGTTATTTTTACAGTAATTTTGCTCTAATTCTATCCATGCGCTGCATCCTTCTGAATCCATTTGACTAAATACTGTAGCTGATTTGCCAAGTAGTAATATTGGAAATTTGGTGCTATAGGCCACCTAGTGATTTCTTCTTTTGGAGTATAGATAGAGAAATTTTGGGTTTCTTGTTTTTCCAATAAAATTGTGAAGTTAAAGAACAAGTGATTTAAACCATTTATCCGTGAGTGTTGTGGGAAGCATTGTAAACAGATAGTTGATTTGAGGTAGAGTTTCTTCATCAGGTGACATAATGATGGATTCAATAACAGGCAAGCTTTTTCCTAAGGTTCTGTTTGGTGGCAACTGGACTTGGTTTGAGGTTCATAAAAATATTCCACCTCTCATTTCAAAGGGTTCTTGAGTTCTGATTGGTGGGGAGTCCCACACATTTAGATTCTTTGGGGTTATTAGCACCTGTAATGAACCTAAGGTTGGATGCAGCTTGAAATAAAAGCCTTTGGAATGCAGTGTAAGGAAGAATGAGCAGAGCTTGTAAAACAAATTGATCTTAATTGAAACTATTCAGGGCAGCATGGTGGAAGAGTGGTTAGCACTATCACCACACAGCAAGAAGGTTCCTGACTCGTGTTCTTTCTGTGCGAAGTTTGCATGCCTGAGTGGGTTCTCTCTGGGTACTCCAGCTTCCTCCCACAGTCCAAAGACATGCAGCTTAGGTTGATTGGTGACTCTAAGGAGTGAGTGTGCTTGTGTGTGGTTGTCTGTCTCTTAGATAGACTGGCAACCTGTCCAGGTTGTACCCCGCCTCTCGCCCAATGTCAGCTGGGATAGGCTCCATCCCCACCAGTGACCCTCGTTAGGATAAGCGGTATAGATAATGGATGGATAAATCAATTCACACAGAGACTAAGGAACAGGCTAAGTTACACTGACTACCACTCTTACAAGTTTACCCCCTCCCACACATGCTGTGAACAAATGAGAAACAACATAAAGCCAACACACAACACTAAGGTAAAATGCACTGCAAAATATCCATCCTTTGGGCACTTTGCACTACAAATGCAACACTACATGCACATCAAATTGTACTAATAACACCCATTTGTTGTAAAAGCATGAATACTGAGGGCAATAAATCTTCAACAAGCGTCCCAAGCCCAGCACAGTTTATCCCAGTAGCAAAGCACAGTCTCTAATTAAAATCATACAGTACAGACTAATACAACAAATAGCCATTAAAAATAGCCACTTAACTGGGGTTCAAATCCCACCCCCTAGGGTCTGAGCTCTGGTTTTGATCTGGCTTGTCAAAAGTCTACATTGGAGAAGTGCTGCAAGGCCTCCATGTGTAGGCATTTACTTCAAGTAGGGAAGCCACCTTGCACTCCTACTTCCCCAGCCCGCACTAATCTAGCCCTACCCCACACAGCAGTCTTGCCCTATAGCCCCCTCACTATCTTCACCACAGGCAGCCCTAACCGGCAGCGAAACGGCTCCGTGAGTGCAACTAGCTATGGCATAGCAAGATTCCCAAGGCTCACACTGAAACACCACTGCACAGCTCCATGCTCAGCTTCTACCCACATGCATGCCTCTTCTCAACTGTCTCAGTCAATGACTAAGTCTCTGCCAGGTGCAGCTACTCACCCTCCATCATTATCTCTCTCCTCCACAGTGGGTCCTCTTATTACACACCTTAAAAGCTGTTGAAATCACATGTGGGTTGTTTCCCCACCTGGCCATCATGTGGATGGTGAGGTCATAGGAGTCAAGATGTGAATGGGTGTTAAACTGCCTGGCGAGGTATATCAGGATTGCATTGGCTGATGGTGTCATAGACTACCTCCTCTGATTAGTGATGGTCTAGTTTGATGTAAATTACTTCATTCACTCTTCTTTTAAACTATTTGTTTTTTTTTCTGGCCAAAATATGAATATTTCTATGCTCAAAGCAGCATCCCTTGTCCTTCACATGCAAATGGGCTGGTTAGTATTTTTCTAAAGAGTTGGCTCGTCTGTCTAGGTGTTCTGTCCTTAAGGTGGACCAGCTTCTGCCACAATGTTCCTGGGTTTGAAATACACAGGGATGCGGTGTTTGGTGTTTCTCCTGATTTTTTCAGACACTCTAGCAATGTTCTTTTCTTCTCTGTCTGTATTAGAGGGGTTCTTACTGGATCTCTTTGTGGTTTTGACAAAGGCCCATTTGGGGTAGCCACAGGTTTTAAGTGCTTCCTTGATGTTTATGTGCTTCCTTCTTTTTCCCTGTGCTCTTGTAGACACATTTTAAGCCCAGTGTGGTGGTTTGCGTCTGATGTTGTTGTCCACTGTATTGGTGTGTTCTGCAAAGGTCTCTGCTGTCTGTGTTTTAATTTTGACCCTGGCATCATTCATGCACTAAAACCAATGGCTGGATGCAGTTCCTGCACAGGAGCTCAAGGATGTGCTCTCTACCTGTACATGTACAGGTTTTCCCATAGGTGTAGTGCTGCCGGAACAATGCTCCACCACTTTTTTCTCCAAAAAAGGAAAAAGAATAGGCCTATTTGCATAATCTTGTTGAAATTTTCAATAACATTGCATTAGTGTTAACATTTGAAGATCCAATCATCAGTAAAGTGTATGTCCCCTAGCTGGTCCCCCGTGGAGATTACACCCTAGTAATAAGATTATTTATGGCTGTAACATTCACCCTTTGACCACAGTGTGAAGCCATCAGTGAGGATCATCAAAGTGTGGCCAGAGTTAACAGACTCTGTACTACAGGACAGGTTTCACCACACGAACTGGAGTATGTTTGCCTCCTGGGCTACCTGTGACTCCCACACAGACATGGACACCTACACTTCCTCTGTGCTGGACTACATTAACACTACCATTGACAGTGTCACAACCCAGAAACAGATCACCACCTACCCAAATCAGAAGCTGTAACAGGAAGGTGAAGCCCCTGCTGAAAGCTTGCAACTCTGCCTCCAGATCTGGTGATGCACATCCCTGCAGCTTATCCAGAGCCAACCTGAGGAGGGGCATCAAGAAGGCCAAGCACCGCTACAAGCTAAAGATCAAGGAACACTTCACAAACTCTGACCTCTGATGTATGTGTCATCAGTGACTACAAGCCCGGCAACTCCACCCCAACAACCACAGATGTGTCCTTCCTCAATAAGCTAAATGACTTCTATGCTTGCTTCGACCGGGACAACAAGGAGGCAGCTATCAAGTTCAGACCCTACACAGATCACCAGCCACTCACACTCACCTCCACTGATGTGTATGCTCCACTGAGCCAGATCAATGTATGTAAGGCTGCTGGCCCTGATGGCATTCTTGGATGCGTGCTCAGGGCACGTGCATGACAGCTTGCTGGTATCTTTATGGACATTTTTAACCTGTCCCTCGCCCAAGCGGTTGTGCTGACATGCTTCAAAACCACCTCCATTGTGCCAGCGCCAAAACATTCCACCCCAACGTGCCTGAATGACTACCGCCCTGTAGCACTCACACCCATCATCATGAAGTGCTTCAAGTGCCTGGTACTGGCACGCCTGACAACCTGTCTCCTACCCACACTGGACCCCTACCAATTTGCCTACAGCAGGAAGAGAAGCACGGAGGATGCAGTCTCCATAGCAATGCCCTCTGTACTCAGACATTTGGACAATAACAACACTTATGCAAAAATGCTGTTTGTGGACTTCAGCTGAGCGTTTACCACGGTCATCCCCTCCAAATTAACCACCAAACCTGGCGACCTGGGCATCAGCACCTCCCTCTGCAGGTGTTGTTGTAGGCTTTCTATTACCTTTTTCCTATAGCTGTTAGTAGGATCTCACCTAAGTGCTTCATAGGTAGTTGTGACATTAACATAGACTTCTCACCTTGATCAGCTGTGTTCTTCAGCACCCTGTATCAATCAGCAACATTGTAATATGCTGGTCTTTTCTTAGAGATGTCAATGTTTTCCTTTCTTGGACAATGAGGTTGAAAGGTCTGTTTATGACTGCCAGTATAAAAAAGAAAGGCCAAAAACAAATATTTTTTATAGGAGGGTGATGAACGAACATGCTGTAAGGAGGCTAAAAGAGGACTTTATGGGGCAAGACTGGGAAGCAGTTTACAAAGAGGAAGACTTAGACAAAGCGAATGAGCAATTTTTAAATATATTCATGAAAGTATATGACAGGAACTGTCCTCGTAAGCAGTATAAAAACAAGAGGAATTACAGTGGGAAACCGTGGATGAGTAAGGGATTACAGAATGCATGTAAAAAGAA